TCGCGATGTGCCACGCTTTATTCAGCGTACATTACACGTTTTACGCGCGTGCATAAAGTATGTCGAATGTCTTCTAATTTTCGATCTGGACGATCGTCGCATGGCTCGCGTGATTTGAACGTATCCTGCCCGCAAGGAAGAATAATTGTCGTCTACGTCTGCCGCCTAGACCGAACGATGTCGAAAGAAGCAGATAAATCGGTAATCTATTCACCAGTGAAATTCCCGCATCTTCCAGGCCAATTTTAAACACGAGAGGGACGGGAGGAGGGGTGAAATACAAGACGGCGGTTAGATTTATTGGATAGATACTGGCGCTCTACATCGATTCGTATCTTTCGTTCGCCCCGGCCACTTCCCGCCCGCGATTTCCGTCTCGCGGTTTTTGACGTCGACGTAAATCCCACAAAATCCGGAACGACCGTCGAATTTTCGCCGAGGAAAATCGATGCGCTGTTCGGCGTCGGCCACTGGCACAGCACAGGCCATAGCAACCCAGCTGATAATTTCACGGAGCTAAGACGAGAGAGCCCTCCCGTGCGCTCATTTAACATTAAGCGCGGACGCGAAGCTTTTGTTTACGTCAAACGTGATGTCGTGATATACTTCGGTAATATCGCGAACAGTACACCGGCGTGCTCGCTATTAAACGGGACCGGTCGAAGCAATAAATATCCCCTAAACGCACGCGCAGAAGAGAAGGAAGACGTAGTGTAACAGTCACTTCTGTATTATCTTCAATGAGGAATAGCGCATTGTTACTGTTACCGTTGCAACAATCGTCAGTCGTCACGCAAAGCTCAGTGAAAGCTCGGTGAAATTCAACTCGGAATGATTATATGCCCAGAATTAGGTCACTGGACTCGAATTTGTTCGCAGTTATGCCCCCGATATGTGCGATCTTCGTGTGTATGAACACGTGTTCCTGGCCATCACGTGATTTATCATAGCAGCTGTCGCGCTTGAAAGTGACGTACAGTCGTTGTTTGTACGAAAGCCGCTCTTGTGTGATAAAAATCACAATTTTACAAGAGGAAGAAGCAGCCAATTTAATCTCTGTCGCAGTCCCGTCGAAACTTTTGCCTAATGTGACAGGGAGATGAGAGAAAAGGATAAAGAGAGAAATAATACATCCGCGTATTATCATCGAAACTTTGTAATCCCGCCTGGAACAGACTTCTCGGGGCGGATATTTCCAGCGCGGATACTTCACTCTCGAGCGCACGCTCTGCGTCTCAAGTCAAGCGAGCCATGCATTCGAAAACTCATTAATATCGTGCGCGTGTTAATTTTTGCCTCGCGATAATACTACCGAATTGTCATTACGTAATTCCGAAATTCCAATTTAACCAATCTCACGTACTTAATTTTACACACAAGTTACGTGCCTATGCGAGAAAATAATGAGAGATAATAAAAGAGCGCGCACGCTCGTTCGCTCGAGTGTTTGCGCGATTGGAAATCGAATGAAATTTTTACTCGTTGAAATAATGGCGGACGAACCAACGAACGGCATGGAAATACTGTGGAGAAGGCGCGTTCCCAGCGGAGATCTATTTTAACATTCACGTACACACGCTGACGCGACAGCTAACACCCTTAATTACTGACACAATCATCATATTTATTATTCGTATAGACGATAAAGTATGGACCCGTTTTCGAACCAGTCGCAGGTGCAAAACACAAGGACACGATATATGTCTGAAGCGAAATTAACGGCCGGTCAAACACTCGAATTTTCCCACGAGTCGCTTGTAGCTTTTGGTCAGATTTATCTTTTTTTCCCTCTTTTTTATTCAGAGGTTACTGTTATTATCGCACGAGTATGTCTATACATACGTGTATATCTATACATACACACATGCATATTTTACGTCACACGAGTAAATGCTCGTTGCTCTCGCCATCTGCTCGAAAAGTGTTCGCTCACTCGTGTGACCCGGTATACAGTGGTTATAGATACATAAAGAACGAATATTGGCGCGTTAAATCATCGTTAACGTTTGTGGCTCAAGCTCGCCCTAAAAGTTACCGCGTAAAAGTAACGATAAAAAGTCACTCGCTCGATCGGGGGATTAAGTCGCACGAAAACCTATAATACCCGACTAAATTGATTCGCGCGAGTTCGCGAACGCGCTCAGAAACGCGCGTCGTCGCGCTCTCTCACTCGTCGCGGGCGACGTTAGATTTTTCAATGAACTCCTGCACTCGTGACGAGAGTTTCGCATTAACGACGGAAGTCTGTTCTTTTTCCTTTTCCTCTTTTTTTCTTTTTTTTTTTCCTTTTGTTTGTAACATTTGGTCCTGGCGCAACTACAGTCACTGTGCCCGGTATTTGTGCTTACGCGAGATTAGCTCCCGCGGGGCTCGCACTCTATCACTTGCAACAAAGCTTGCTGATGTGAAGATTTAATTGACACATTGTTTCCTTCCTCCCTTCGTCTGTTCCGTTTCTTTTTTTTTCTTTTTTCTTTTTCCCTTTCCTTTTCCGCACGTATCGTCGTCGACGGGGTACCGAGGCGCGATTGGTCGCGTCGTAATCGCAAAAGGGCAGCGCTTGAATCGTGCCTTCGGCGCAGGATGTTCGTGGCAGCGGGCGTAATGCGCGTCACATGGTGCGACGGCGAAACGTAGCACGTAGCATCGTTTGATTATAAAATTTCCTAATTTCGAGATGTTTACTTCATTATGCAAAACGGTCGATTTTAAGCATCGGACGTACGTCCGAAGTATAAATGTGATCATTTTAAAAGTAGCTTAAGTCTCGAAATTTATATATTTTTTCTCTTTTTTCTCTCGTAGAATTTCGCTTATTAAATTTGTTGCAATTAAGATGGCAATTAGGGTGTATGAATGTGCCTATGCTTATGTATGTGTGTACGTATGAATGATATTCGAGATGAATTCACGTACAGTTGATTAGTAGTTGCCGTGACACATTGGAATTTGCAACGTACGGAAAAGATAAACGCGCTAAAGGTCGCGCTAAAGCAAGATGAATCAGATTTTTACTCGGGATCTGTTCGCCGACCTACTTTCGCTTAATTTAAGCAGCTTTGCCGAACCTCCTGAGCGCCTTATCGCTGCATCTTATTCGAGACAAAGGTTCTTAAATTCGGCTCAATTCATCCTCCTATCTCTCTCGCCCGGTGTTTTTACGAAGTCAGCGTGATCGATGCATCTTGTCTCGCTCGACAGCGAGTCGAATTCTCTCGTTCGAGCGCGTTGTCTTTGTCGCCGTTTTCTCCCATTACGCTCGGTCGGGCGAGCAATTTATTTTTCCAGAAAACATTTGGCTATCGGTTGCCGAGGTAAAATATGCTTTTTGCAAGTTAAAGTGCAACTGTAGTTAGAATATCGCGAGCGCGCCGTTGATTGCTTCGTTAACTTTTACCTCGTTAATTGCGCCATTCTCCGGCGAATCGCGCAACATCGCGCGCGAGTTGTGTACTATTTGAGCTGTTACTCGGTAGAACTCGAAAAGTGGGACAGAACCGGCACTGATCCAAGGGCAACGTTGCACGTCGATGGTGGTGGGAACGCTTGTAAAAATGTTATTTGCGAAAAAACAAAATTCTGTGTCCGACTGCGTTTGAATGCCTGTGTCTGTGTGAGATGTGCGGCGCGAATGTATGAGTTTTATGTGCCCGAGCAAATATCCGTATTTAGATGCGCTTCGCGACGATTAAAACTTTCACACGGAGCCGTTCGATCGCGCAACCGATTGAAAAATACCGGCAACCAATTGGACAATTTACGGCGGCCTACGAGCCCGCGTTTGTTTCCTTTTGAGAGTCGACGCGACCCTCTTCCTCATTCCACTCAATCCTATCACTTTGACAGACTTTATCTTAAGGTGAGGGCTGTGAAGCGGCTTGCGTTTCATAGCGGGTGGAACGAATAAAGGGGAGAGAACTGTCACGTTACAAATTTATACGTCCACGTGCGCGAGAGGCGAAGACGGAGCGCGCCTCTGTCGCCTGAATTATCAATATCTTCGCGAAAGGGAGAAGGAAGAGTTCAACTTGACGAAGTCGCGCGAGTTTTGCAATTCAGTTTACCGAAAATCGACATGACGAAAAGAGACATGAGCCGGCAGGACACTAACGAAAGAGTTAACTAATCACGTCTCCTCCTCTCTACATGCTCCATCCTGTGCCGAGAAGCACCCTTCAATCAGTTCCACTTACCTTCAGTCATCACCTCGACACGTCGAAAAATAACGAGAACCTATCGGAGACTCTGACACGCTGACGGTTTGCCGCATTTCGCGAGCGGCCGTCAAATTTCATACCTTCCGCGATTGGTCGCTCGCGAATGTGGGAGAGAGTATCGGATAACCGAAGCAAAAATCCCGCCATCACTTTCGTCACTGAGCGAACGTGAAGAAACGCAGTCGCCGTCGCACTGTAAACTACTTCGCCAGATTTGATTCGATGAAGCGGATTTGCGCGTCAGATCGGCCTGCGGAAGCATGTCATCGCGTCTTCGTCTTCGTCCTCGCCGTCGTCGCTCGATAAGTCGATACCCGCTTGTTCCATTCTTCCCTCGTGTTTTTACTACCCTCCGCGCGATTCTTCGCTCCTCCATGCTGGAAGTAAGTAACTCGGAATTTCGCGAAGTCGTTGTCGAGTTCTTTGCGCTCGGCTGAACCGCAACTTCGCGGCAGACATTACACCGCGGTAAAATTGCAATCGCTCGGCGTTCTACCGCGAATTTTCCCCGACTTCTCTCCGGCTCGAGCCTTGTTACGCGACGCATTTCCCGCGGGGGCGCTGTCTGTGTGGAAAGTAATGGGACTTGAGCTTCGAACCCCTGTTCTCTGTTGAAGGGCTACGCGGAATAGTAATCCCGTCCCAGAAATCGTACATCAATTTTCCAAAGTTACAAAGTGACGTGTGTGAAACAGAAAGGGAACGTACGTTCCTCCTAAGAATCTTTTTTTCTTTCTTCCCCCCGCCCCCCCTCCTCTCTCTCTCTCTCTCTCTCTCTCTCTCTCTCTCTCTCTCTCTCTCTCTTTCACTTTCTTTTCCTTTCCGAGTTATATCCTTGCTGGAAGCTCGATGTTGAAAGTAGAGGAAGCGCGGCCGGCCTCCCCGCAGTCGGGCGAATTAAGGGGATCGGAAGATCGATGGCTACACGCGAGTCCGGCAATTAATCGCGCGAAATCGGTGTTGATGCGACCTGGAGTTCGCCGGTGAACATTTCCAGGCGAAGAAGAATACATCGCCCTCGGCGATGCTAATTCGATTAGGCTCTATCGCGTGCCTTAAAATCCAATTTCCGCGTTCAATTTGTGCGTAAAAGAGAGATAGCGAGGAAGTAACGGGGCGGGGGGAGGGGGAGGAGCAGGAGGAGAAGGAGCGCATTAGCAAAAGCGTCGAATCGAAGATTCGCTATCGGAAATCCTCGTTCTGATGTAAGTGCCTCGTGGAGGTCTCCATATTGATTTCTCCGTCGTGGCCCGCACACAGCCGTGCACGCGACTCGTATCGAACGGCGCCCCGGGACGAAGTTCCTCGGAAAATATTCTCTGTCTCAGTCGCGAGGACGCGCTCCGTCCAGTATCATTCTTACGGACGATCGGCGAATCTGCTTCCACCGATAGAACTCATTCTGTTTTCCCTCGTCGCTGCTGCTGCTGCTGCTAGGCGGATCTCTGCCGCTGCCCGGCATGAATCCGCTCGAATCCATTGATCTCTCTCTCTCTCTCTCTCTCTCTCTCTCTCTCTCTGCGAGGAGCTCCCGCTGGTTGTTCATTTTTCATCGCGAGACGACGTCCTTGCGTCGAAGTTGTTCGCGCGTACACTCTCTTTTTCTCCGTCTCCCAAGGACAACGATGACAAATTGCGATATCAACGTTTTCATTTACATTTTAACGGTTTATCGGTGTTTACTGTTGATGCAATGATCGATTCCCACGATGCGCTCGATATCTCTCCTCAGCTCCTCAGCGTCCTCGCTGAAAACTCCATGAATTACCGGGGATAAATCAATCCAGGCGCGATTACACTCTCCCGCGGACCTCACTGTCTCCGTTTTATCGACTAAATGCCGAATCTCGGCGATGCCGAATCTCTCGAGGACTCTCTTCCGGATCTCTCCCCGCGATAGGCGGATCCTCTCCGTGCCGCACGTGTCGAGGTCGAGACCTCGACTACTCATGAAAAAGATATACCGTTATCGGCCTCCCGCGATGCTTTTCTTCCGCGACCTCATTATCCATTCTTCCGCTGCAATCTCATCATCCTTCTCTCTCCTTTCTCGGACCTCCTCCCCTCCTCTTCGCTGATCTCGCCCTCGCGGCTTGTGTTCTCATTATCGCGTTAAACTTTTCGAGATTACGAATTGCTCCGTGCCAGCCCGTCCCTCATCGTCCTCGCGATCCTTTCATTGCCGACGCTACGGCCTCAACTTCCGTCTCCTCCGTCGTGGTCGCTCGACTCATCACAGCTCGATGATATCCGGCGCGCGAAATTGCACTTTGCTGCTGAACTTCACCTCCTGGACGATCTTGTTACAGCCGTCGTCCTCGTCCGGATCGGCATCGCCGCTCCGCTCATAATCGTCATCGTCGTCCTCTTCCTCCTGCAGGTCCTCCAGGACCTTGCGTCTGTCTAAACGCCAGCCACCATCCCTATCGCTAGCCGCCGACTTTTTTCTCCTCTCGCGAGTTTTATTCTGGCGAACAGATCGCCGTGGTTATTTGTATCTGAAAGTCGAGCAGAACGGACGCACTTTGGAGCGTGAGTGTGCTCTTATCGACCACGGAGAGAGAAAGAGAAAGAGATAAAGAGATAAAGAGAGAGAGAGAGAGAGAGAGAGAAAAAGAGAAAGAAAGAGAATGAGTGAAAGAGAGAAAGAGAGAGAGAGAGAGAGAGAGAAACTCGTTAATTTATGTTTAAAATGTTTATCTTACTACGGTTTGTCTCTTTCTTAATTTTTTCATCTCTTTCTTAATTTCTCGACGGATTACATACGGTTGACAGAAAAATGTCGTTGAAATTGCACCGGTCGCAGAGTTACAATTTTCGGGAGTAACGGCTAGACAAACATGATTCCCCGGCACAGGTGTTTCCTATTCAGATTCGTATTCTCCCAGTTTTGAAGGGCGCTCTTTGGGGGAGAGCGTGTAGCAATATCGAAAATGAGAAAAAATGTTTACGCTATATAACACAAAATGTTTTGCTCTGCCTACTTCCTTTTCTTTTCTCCTACTTTGGACGCCTCTGTGTGTGTGTGTCTCGTGCGCAGGTTGTGAAAGTCCAAGTCGCGATAGAGGAATTGTTACAAAGGTCTTTCCCTTGTAATCGCCGCAAATATTTCAATCATCTCGTTATCACGTGGAGCACGCAGCATGGGCTTTGCGTGGGCGTTCACATTTCGCCAACGATAGAAATATGATAGGTGTGCGTTTATACGAGCCGCACGATACGTGATATGCGCGCATGCTACTCAGCTCTCCAGATGTATCGAGTGAGTGTTTTAATATACGCAGATTGAAACGCGGTGACGCGCCGTGGGAAATTTTGTATTTTTTCCTTTTTTCTTGCGCCGTCGGGGGGATCGCCGCGCGTCGTAAAATAGTTTCCACCGCCAATCTCTACGGAAACTTGGTCGACATCGCGCGTTATTTTCATTACGACTCGCGCTCGCACATTCCCCGAAGAAAATCCGCGCGACGTCGCGCTTATTACTCCCCTATCTTGAAAATTTTTAGGAAAACTAATCTTGATTGGAAGTGTCGCTTTCTATATCTGCAATTTGTAAGAAGACAACTTTTAGACATCACGCAAGACGCATTTCGCTCGAGTGAATGTAACGTTATCAGCTTTGTAATCAACGTAACCGATCGTTCAACTGGTTTCATGCAACTGACTGTTCAAAATGAAAGCTGAGAAGAAAAGTCCTGTAAATCTTTCTCTCGATGCTCTCGAGACAAAGAGAGATAGAGAGAGAGAGAGAGAGAGAGAGAGAGAGAGAGAGAGAGAGAGAGAGAGAGCGAGAGAGAAAGGGGAAGAAAGAGAAAGAGAGGAAGAGAAAGATAGAGAGAAACAGAGAGCGCGCGACTTACCTTTCCGGTAAAGGGCATTCCAGAATTCTGCAGAAAGCCAGACCGACCGCGACCAATAGTATCACTAACAAAACCGCATACACCACGCATAGATGAACCAAAGAAAAAATATAGAGCGTCTTGTGACACCACTTATTGGGCGCGTACAACGAAAATTCGTATTCCGGCCACTTTATGTGCAGTATCCAATAATGTCCTGAAACACAAAGGGAGAAAAGACGACATGCGACGACAACGTACAGTTCAACGTCCCGCTTAATGTGTAAACGACAAAAAGTCAGAGTGCAAGTTGCACGGAATATATCGCTGAATACGGCTCTTTTCGCCTACATCGAAAAGTGGCTCCTTTGGACTACGTCCAAGAGGTTTTTCTCGCGCATTTCGCTCGTCCGTTGTCGTACGACCTGAACCGTAACTCTACGTTCGACCCAAAAACTTCCAAAGTGCTAACGACCTCGCAGTTACGTGACATACATATATATCAGGTGCTCGAGATTAAGCAGTCTGCAATTACGTGTCACCCTACGACCAACTAACCGTCGCGTTTTGCGGCACGACATTCGCAAACTGGCGCGCCGCACGAATTGTAAATATTGCACGGCGATGCTCGGTCACGAACAGTTTAATCGCCGTTACGGCGAACTTTTTCCCAATCACGGGCTTTCTCTCTCTGTGCAGAAATTGGCGTGCGAACGTTGTGTGTTACGAGGTCGCGCGATGCGCCTTACGTTCTCCGCCATTTCGTGCGGTCCCGAGTTAGCAGGAAGCTAACTGTTGGAAAAGAAAGCCGGTAGTTTGTGCGGGAAGACGAAAATAAATGTGTAGCCCGATTAAAATGATGATGCGGCGAGAACGCACTTCTGAAATATCTCGACATCGATCCGTTTTTCACTAAAGATAGAACCCGCCATTGAAACCACCTGTGCAAAGTGCAAATATAAACAAAGCCTGCCACTTGACCGACATTTTCGCCGACGTAACGCGGACAGAATGGATTCGCTCATAAGAATAACGTCGTGACCGTAGGAAACATCGCGCAATTAAGACCGGCATAGAAGAAAGTTAAACACACTTGACGCTTGCGGAACAACATGAAAGAAATTTCGGCATCTGCGCTATCCTCGTCAGCGATTTTCTCGGCTCGCGAATTTTTTAGTCGAACGATCAAACGGATAATCCTCTCTGATACGAAATAATTACAAAGTGTCGACGAGAAGATTGATATTAACTTCATCAGCAATTAAATAAAACAAATTAATCGTCGGTCGGTCAATCTCTAATAAGAAAACAAGTAAAAAGCTTTGCAGAGAATAATAAGACGAGTCTGCGACGGAAAGCGATCGATTTAATTATCCGGGTAATATCGGGAAAATAGCGATTGCTACTCTTATCGTGCATTTTATGCGAAACTTTTTTTACTTTCTGCATAATAATCTTCTTCGCAAATGTATTCGTGCTCACATAAAGTTATTACGAAATCACGGAGCAGAGTATGTATAATACTATGAAGTATATGTTTTCGTAATATGGCTTTGAACTCGCATGCATATATATATATATATGTGCATGTGTGTATGTGTATACACATATGTGTGTGTGTGTGTGTGTGTGTATGTATATACACATATGTGAATAAATCCTCTGCAGCTTTGCCGCTCAGAAAGTTCGAGGACCGCTCGTACGGAGTATAAAGTATATCCGCGATACAATTCCATACAAAATTGTCTGCTTACCTAACGCGAACCACCCGACCAGGAAGCACGATAAAGCTATGGAGAGTAATTTCATGGGCGAGACGTGTGGTCTAGCACCGGGAACGGATAAGACCTCCGGCCTCCGAGAGCGTATCTGCGAATAAAGCGCCCAGAACATACGCACGGCGCCTAAAACTCCACCGATCAGCATGTACACGGGGATGTACGGCTCTATCGGGCAATCCTTGATAAACTGCACACCTGTAAAAGCGTAAAATCAAACATGCGATTTTCGACATGTTCAGCGTCTGTCCGCGTTGAAAGGAAGAGGACAGCCTCTTGTGGATATTAGATTGTCCCTTGTACTATTGATTCCGTGTGTAATCTATTTCTATCCGCGAATATGTGCACGTTCAGTTATGTGTGTGTGTGTGTGTTTCCGCTTAGATACACGTATAAATTCCAACTCTCGCGCGCGTCGCATGATGCGACACGCGCGATATGCGCACGTGACAATCAATATTACAACTTCCATCTCTATTCGGCTTTTCTGTCATTCTGATCTCTTCTCCTCCTCTCCTCCTTCCGCCGTCAGTGTGGACCTTTTATCGCGATATATGTTTTTCATTTGATTCTTTATACGTCCGCGATCGAATACGCGAAGTAGTCTCAGCACCGTGCAGCTATAATCCGTGACGCGCTAGTTTGTCCAATACTGTGTGAACTCATCGTTATTCGTCGGAAAGGAAAAGAAGGTTGCTGACTTTTTTACTCATCCGTTGGAGTCTATCGTGCATATTCGACATGCGTCATTATCATGCACTTTTCGCAACGCCGATGAGGAATAATTTAGCATTAATTGCGTTGCCCGATATCCATCCTGTGTACCATCCTGCGTCGGTTTGACGTCCAGCTTAGGATAACATACATGCAAATATCCAGAGGTTCTCTTCTATATATACCTCGTTGTTATGCATGTCTTACATCTTGTGTATATGTGTGTGTGTGTGTGTGTGTGCGAATGTGTGGATATATACGATCTATTAATTTTCCGTGACATAATCTCGGGCAATCTTTCTCAGAAGATTTATTTCGTGGCATTCGCTATATCGATTGATGCATAAAGGGAGAATCTAATACAGTCATCACTCATGAGCCACACTAGCGCGCGGTAGAGATGTGCGAATCAAGAATTTTTATATCAAATCGAATCGAATCTCATTTTTTTAATTCGAATTTGAATCGAATCGAATCTATGAAATTTCACTCGAATTCGAGTCGAATCGAATAAAATCGAATCGAATCATTAAAAAATTTAACATGACTATTAAACACGCAAATAATGACGGAAGATTTTAATATGAAAGGGAATATTGATATTGTATAATATCATCTTAAAGGTAAAACATATATATTTAAATAATTAAAGTAATTTATAATTAAGTTATTAATTATAAGTTAAGTTAATTACAAGTTAAGGGTTCAAATGTACAGGCCCAGATGGCCCGTTTTGTAGCTAATGCACGCAAACGATAATGTATTTGATTCCTATTCGAATTATTCGGATTCGAAGTATAGGGATTCGGATTCAGATCGAATTACATTAGATTCAATTCGATGTGATTCGAATTCGAATAGTTCGCACATCTCTAGCGCGCGGTAATGCTGAGGATATCTCTTATTATTTCGTCGCATTACCGCGACGAAATAATAAGAGTTCAAGAGCGCGGCTGCATTTATTTAGAGCTCGACGTGGGCGTCCTCGTTCCATCTCGACGCTGCGATGCGATTCACGAGCTTCACTTGGGCTGCGCTCGCAATCGTTAAATCGCAAATGGAACGAGTCGCAGTGGAACGAGATCGAGCGCGGCTCGATGCCCACGTGATCGGATGAAATTTTGCTAAGAACCGACTGATGCTTTTAACCGACCTCTTTACTTCCTCTCTTCCTCCATCTGAAGAAGTTTCTTAATCTCTTTCCTCTCTTCTAGTGCCCGGTGCGCGATAGGAGATGGCTCTTAATCTCGCGCTAATTCCTTGGAAATGCGATACACGTAGCCGTTCTTCAAACCGACTTTTGTGCGTATCATCCAATTTTCACGACGCGTCTCGCGATCCCTTCGATTGTTCTTCCGTGCCGTGATTTACGAAAGACCTAAGTCGCACTTGGAATCGACGGCCATTTGGAATCCGCGGCCACTTTCGCGGTTCGCCTCGGCCATTATTATCGATTGCACGTTCTTATCGGGCGGACTTTGCCGGAAGGTGAATGCACCGGGCCCGTAATAAATCAGGTTGAACGTCTATGCCTCTCGTCCCGCCGCGAGTAAACGGCCATGCCCGAGAAATTAAGTATGCTTGCATGCCGCGAGCTCAACACGCTAGCGTTTCGCTAGCGTTTCGCTAGCGTGTCGTAATCCCGGTAGCATTAATTAGCTCGGAAATGACGCTGCATATTCCGTAGAATTTCAGACGAACTTTGCTACCAATCGCAAGTCCTGATAAACAGGAAACGCGCGTTTCACTCCCGCTTGCGGAGCGGGTGTTACAATCGCACCGCGCGTCGTTGTTACTTTCCTCGGGATCGGTAAATTGCACGTGGAATTTTTCCGAGATTGAACGATATGAACACAACAAGCGGCTCGCACACGCATAGATTTATCGCAAAGCTGTATTTAATTATATTAAAACCCCCGAGGGTGTGATTACGTCGATGGAAGTAATATACATACGAGTATATAAAGAAACGTGTGAAAATCGATTTGTGAGCAAAGCTTTAAGCGATTCACACGCGGCGAATCAGAAGAATGACGCTGCGTCAGGCATTGCGATCGATTGGCGAATCGAAAAGTTTAGCGATAATCAGTTGATAAGTCTTCGAGAATTATCCGTCCACCTAAGAAGAAAATTTCAGCGATTTATTTGCCCGGGAAAAGTGCCACGCGTAGCTTCATATCAGCGAGGGTCTCACGAGATATACTTTCGTTAGAAGGACATTGATAAAAGGACCTTATCTCCCACACCAATCGCGGCGCGTCCTCGACGTGAAATACCTCGGGGAATCGTCTTCCGCTATCAGGCTCCGTTCCTCTAATCTGAACTCAGAGCTGAGAGATCGGCTGAAGGAAGCAAAAACGACCGCATTACTGATAATACCGCGTGTTAAAAATTTTTTTTTGATATCTGAAATAATTCCCATCGGACGTAATGCTTCAAGGTGTATCCCCTTGAGAAAAAGAGAGGGAGAGAGGGAGTGAGGAACTAACGGAATAATAAAGAAAACTCCTTAGACCAATGCATATCGCGCGACCGAGAGATGCATAATAAAATAAAAGTCACGTCTCAAAAGACGTCGGAAGCTTTCGCGAAATTTCTCGAACCACGCAGACAACGCTGCAGTACATCCCGTTCAATTATTCCGTTCCTCTGAATTTCTTTCTCAACGGTGAATTAAACTCCCCTTTATGTGCATCGAGTGCGTAAAGACACGCTAACAAGGCTTCGAGAGCGTCAGACGGAGGAATCGCGCGGGAAAACGGTTCGATAAGAAAAAATATTGAAGCTATGGGTTGGTATTTTTTTTTTTCGAACAACTTCTTTTCGTTATTTCTTTTTTCCACACACACACACACTCTCTCTCTCTCTCTCTCTCTCTCTCTGTCTCTCTCTCTCTCTCTCTCTCTCTCTCTCTCTCTCTCTCTCTCTCTCTCTCTCCCTCTCTCCCTCTCTCCCTCTCTCTCCCTCTCTCTCTCTCTCTCTCTCTCTCTCTCTCTTTCTCTCTCTCTCTCTCTCCCTCTCTCTCTCTCTCTCTCCCTCTCTCTCTCTCCACCTCGATTCTCACACCACGCACGCCAACCATACCTCGACTCTAATCGCCCGGTAACGCGGGGAGAACAAAACTACTCCGCTTGCCGCAGTTCGCCCACAAAACGTTACGTATGCTCGTAAATAGACGCGACGGCGCGTTGGAGTTTTCATTCTTTAATAAAGGACATTTTATAGAATATTTTGAAGAAGAGATCGTATTGGAATATCGTGGAATTTAAAACAAAATACTTTCTCGAATTGAAAACTTAAGCAATTTTTCATTATAACAATTTTTATCCATAAAAATATAAATGAAAATACAAATTATAATAAATATAATTCTATTTATAATTAATTGTGATCTGTATAAGCATTTATAACGGAAGAAATTTAAAATAAATATATTATAAATATATATAATATAATATATTTATAATATATTTAAAATAAATATATTATAAATATATATAATATATATATTATATATATATATATATATAATATATTTTATTTATCTATTTGCTGTATGCATTTTTTACCCGAGAATATAGAGTGTCATGAAAAATCATGATGTACCGTTAGTATTATGTTAATAAATTGACAATCGGAAGACATTTGATGATTTATTGAAAAACACATACTTTTTTGACATTCGCTTCAGCTCTGTCTCGCCGATTCGTGCTCGGATATTATGTTTTTTCTTTTTGATTAATGTTTGTCAAAATCATCATTTTGGATAACATATGTTAAGATCGACTTCAACGGGTAGGTCGAAACATTAATATAAAGGTTGTTCGATTCGTTTTTCATCATTCTATAAATTTGTTTTGAAATAAGGAATTTCGGTTTAATCCGATAAATAGTGAGACACGTATATTATATCATTATTACATGGTTTTTGCACGATTATTATCATTTCAGACCACTGTGCGGCGGAGCATGCGTTTTAAGAGACAAAGCCGCGACAGATAATGAACGAGTCTCGAAACCGCGCGCATGTCGCCTCAGCGAGCGTCTCCCTTTCCGCGTTGAAACTCTCGCGAGAAAGTCCGTCGTTAATTCTTAAGTACAGGCATGCTAAGTATCGATCCCTCGCGACGCTTGCCGAAGTATAAAACGGATCGAACCGCGTACAGCAGGGCGAGCAGCCCCGAGAGAGGTAATGCCACTTTCGACCCACTTATCCCGCCGCTGTTCATTATGCAATATTCATTATACCATCGGAACATCATCCTTTCCTTACGGCTGAATTATTCCCGCGCGACCGGCTCGTCAGCGGTCAAAGTTCTCGCTCTCGACTTTCGCGAGTCGCGAGGAGGACTGGCTTTTATCGCGAGCCCTTGCGTGCGCCGCCTCCTACTCGAGAACGAAGCTCCTTCCGCACTCACCGAAGATGAACATCAGGATAGGCACAGTGGACAGACACGAGAGACATATGGTGAACGTCATCGTCTTGCTGATGACCCTCAGCGCGCGAAAGACAAAGTCGCAGATGCCGTTCGCTTCGAGATGGGCGTCCTTCAGCTGGAACACGACCGAGCCGTAGGTCGCTACGCCGACATTCGCAGCTTCCGCGTCGCCCTTTTCGGGTGCCTTGGCGCCGCTGGCGCAAAGTCGACGCGACTCGTCGCCTGAAAGCTGAAAGCACACGCGAGACAGCTCGAATCAGATTTTCTCCCGACCGTAACGGTAATGCGATTTGCCCTCCCCCCTCGGCTGCCCCCCCCTCCCCTCACCCGTCCGGCGAGTGCATTCACTTTGTTTAATATATCGTACGCGTGACGTGGGCTCTCGCCGCGCGCGGAAACTATTTCGCCGAAATCTACGGAAACGGACGGAGTCTAATTTCTTCGAATTCCCCGCGTTTAATCGATGTCACTTCGCGGCAACGTGTTCCCATTTGCGCTTTACTCCGCCCTCGCCCTTTACTACACCCCGTATTAGTTTGCGTTATCCTGTGCCGCTTCGCCTCTGCGTCTGCGTTGATTACGGAGAAATCCAATTAAAGGCCGCGGGCGAAGGCACTTTTTCCCGTTTATCGCGCAAAGGACCCGCATTAGACAACCTCGCGACGCGGAAATGAAAATCGAACGGTCGGCCGAATTTCCAAATGCGCCGTCGGACGTTGGGGAATCCTCCGAATATTCCCGAAGGATCGACACACGAGAGTGTCCGTATAAAGTCTCCGTGGGGAGCTTGACGAAGAAACCCGATCGACGCGGGCGGCGGAGGGTGATGGTGGTCCCCGCGTCTCGAAGGAAAGAGCGAGAGCTCCGTCCGGTGCGATTTAATTATCGGCACTTCCCGGAACTCTCGCGAGTTATATCAGTGTCCCTTCGATACGCCGCGCTGCTTCGACCGGATACCGGAGATCAATTTATATTCCGCTCACCTTCCATGGATCGCGGATCCAATAAACGGCCGTGAAAAGCGCGGACGCAGCGCGGGCGCTGAACGACTGCTGACACGTCTCTTATTTCTCACCGCCGATTGCCTCTCGGCGCCGCGCGAAATTGATCCTTTGAGAGAGATCCGCGTCCGACGTCCCGCGCATATTTCCCGAACGGGTTTTCTTGTGCGTGCGAAATAAGCGCGAAAGTCGCTCCCGCGCGAGGAAAATGTTCAGCTGTCACGCGCAGAGCGGAGCTCCTGCGCGCGACGCCTTTAATCCTCGACCTTTCGACCTCCCCTGCCGCCCCCCCCCCCCCCCCCAGTGAACACACCCGCTTGAATTTTTATATTCGAGCAACAACGGTACTTCGTTTATTATTTAGAGTCCAAGCGACGTCTGGGGGATGTTTCAGGACGCGCGAGCTCGCGACGCACGTACGACAGCACTTGCGATAAATCGAATCGAGTTCGCAGGACGCGCCAGTTTCATCGCGCAAAGTCGCCCCGTCGTCGTCGAGTCGCGCGCAGTCGAAACCGCTTCGGTCATTCTTCATGTCTCGAGTCAAGCGGAATCAAGCGTAATAGGACAGAAAAGTGCGGAGAGCCGCCAACTCGAGCCGCGCGGTCAAAGGATCCGAGGGTGTCCTGTACCATATATTCACAGTCTGAATGTTCCTTTCTGCGGGTAAAATTAACAATGAAACTAAAAGCTGAAGATATAAGGCGGAACAAGCCCTTTCGGACTCGTTGTAGTTTTCCGGCAAAGGGCAGACTGCAAGGCGCGAGGGATAAGGGTCGGTGTGGGATCTTCGCGTTGCGAAACTGCCGGTCGTATCGTCACTCACGCGTTACCTCGTTCTCGCGTACGCGTTGCGCCAACAAATCGCCGCCGCGTTGTGTCCGCAGAGCCAGTTCGTGATGCAATTTCAGACCGTATAAATTATTCCTTCAGCACAGAATTTTGTCCTTTTGCTGCGAGAAATATAATATCCCACGCGACCCCTGATGAAGAGACGAACGAGCGATCCCGGGAAATATAAATGGCGCCGCAACTTCCTTCGGCGCGTATCTTACGCGCGATTAAAATTTCGCACTTTCCGATCGATGATGCTGAGACTAAGAAATTTCACTGCGACATTCGCTGCTCCGTTTTTCCTCATCACGGCTGCCCTCCGACAGCCGCTCTTCGCTTTTGTAACTAAACCCAGGCCTAAACCCAGGAACTTCGCCATTGGTGGCAAAAGCTCGCAAATGAGAAAATAAATCTCTTGCGATATAGCGTAAGAAAAAAGGGGAGTGCTGCATGGTCGGCGTCTCTCTGAGAGCAGTAACGAAGGAAATTACTTTGAAGATTTTACGGGAATAAACACGGTAGAGGGGTTAAACGTGAGATAGTAGCGGGAAAGAGAGAGAGAGAGAGAGAGAGAGAGAGAGGAAGGAGAAAAAAGCAAGGCAAACAGGAAATAACGCCTCTACGAGTGTAGCTATCGCTCGATTGAGACTCGGTTCGACGGATATTCATTTGGCAAAGAGCAACGCGCCTGCCAGGACAAAACACCTCCCGTGAGGTTCTCAGTTTCGGCAGGTTGAATCTACTTTCTACTCGGGATTCAAGTTGCGCAAGTGCGCGTGCAAGTTTCTGATCCTTATCCCATAACTTGGACGAGATCTATTTTGTTAGTTACTCGATCGAATCTGTAGAATTTTAATAAGCTACCTGTTATCAAGGTTATTTCTCTGTTCCTTTATGTAAAGATACGCGTTATCATGCTACATTAATGACGGAGCACGTATCTAACTTTGGACGTATATCCTCATTATTTTGTTCTTTAAATATATACGAATACTTCAACTTTCAACGTGGAATATCTGTGTACGTTTAATAATACCGGATGTACTTAACGTACACGCGTTGACTGTCGCATTAACCGCGTGCCGTCTTAAAAATTTCTTTAATATTTTTAAGTATCATCTCCGCGTGCCTCTCTCGGGCGATGAGGCTTCGATGAGAAGCATCCTCGCAGGATGCTACAGAACACCCGAGGAATATTAACCTTTTTTCTCTTCTCCTCCATCCGCTGATTGTTCCGCCGCTAAGTCAGCTAAGTGACATTCCGCTTCCGGCGAGGTATCGTTACGTGCATATCTCCAACGCGACGTTTTAACCATGGAAATAATTACGCGCTCGTGCCGGAGACCGTTCGCGCAAAGTTCCCACTTTTTTTCCCCGAACTCGCGCGATCTGCCGATCTGCGGAGAGCCTTGTTATCGTCGTACCTTCCCGTGCGTGGAAAGCGTCATCTCGGTGACGTTTCGCATCGCCGGCGTAATTACCGCGACGAATGACAAATGACAAATTACGCCCACGAGTCACCTGCGGTATAGCCGGTATAGCGCGATAAAGGTCGCTGCGTCCCAGTCGGCCGTTTCCGTCGCACGGACGAAGTATCGCGAAACAGCCGTAACACAACTGGGGCGTGCAACGTAACGGCATCGCCCGAGGAAGAAAATCCCCCGGCAACGTTGGCGAGATAGCGCTGACCGATAAGGAGGCACGGGGTTACCTGCGAGACGGAGCTGCTGGCTCGCCTGGAATCGGCCCAGGCATTCGTTCCGTATCCCAGGTTGACCTGGGCGCCGCCGCTCCCGCCTGATCTGACGCTTCCTGAGCTCACTTCTCTTTGGCGATAAGGCGAGGAACTTCGGTTTCTCGTGCTCCCTGGACAAACACAAATATTTGAATTTCTCCGAGCGCCCTTCAAAGCTCCGGACAGCCGTATCACGAGAATACGTATGGACGGGATGTTTCTCACAGGCAACGGGATCGTGAAACACGGATAAGAGATATCTCTACTTCTTCCTCTTTTCAATCCACAATTTTCACTTACAGTCGGAAACACATATTTCCGCATCTTTTTCGCGATTCGCGCAGACTCGCGTTTGATCGGCTCGCTTCCTCGTGCACGGGAATGTTCTCACGATGCTATCTAAAGGCAATCACGGGGGTCGGTATATTTGATCGGTTTTCGTGTGGTCGGTATCGTGTGTTTGAATTTTGCACTCTGATGGTGTTTATCTCAAATATTTGTTTCCTACTTTTGTATATATATATATATATATATATATCCACACACGCACATTCGCTTCAATGCACTTGCATGCTCGCGTTTGCAGTTAACAAATCGCCAAATAATCGTACAACGGGAGATAACGGTGAATAGTACTACGCTAATAATAATTAATAGCGTTAGTGCGCGTTTTAATTTACAGTCCTCGCGTTTCCCTGCGAATTTCGCTCACAGAGTTAAAGCGACGCCTGCGCACACTGCAAACTGCAGCCGGGCTGTGCGATGGCACAGCCGGGGTTGATATCTTTGTCGACGAAGTAGCGCGTAAGCGCGAGCTGCCTCGCGCGATAAATCCGCGCTTCCAATTTACGGAATACGAATCCCATCTGCTGAAGAGACGTCGATTATCGCGACGCTCCTCGCGCGAGATTCGCAGCGAGATTTAACGACTTCGCTTGGCCCGGTGTAATTCGGTAAACAGGCCATCTCGTTGCGATCGATCTCGGGCGGATAATCGCACGGAAAACGAGCGAATCTGCGCCCCGCGGAAGCCGCGGCCGCGCGGCTCCGGCTGCGTGTTCGGAATTATAATTGCCGCGGGAAATCTGAAAGGATACGGGAATCGCGAGATTACCGGGCTAAGAAATTGCAGCTTGTACGGTTAATTTTATTTTCACCCTGAGAGAAACTAGCAGAGAGGGAAAACGCGCGCCCCGCCCTTTCTGATTACCGCGTACTGGCGCGCACGCAACCTCGCGTTCGCATCGCATTGGCGCGAAGCATTTTAAGCAGCGGTACCCCTATCGGACCCCTTCGATATTTCAATTTCGTGACCGAGTGTGGCTCTGCGTGGCCGCTGACATTAATAAGCACCGTGCATGCTCGACGAAATCAGGCCAATTTGCGCGACCGAAGCATAACCTTTCGCGGTATATCAGCGCGCATGATGTTAATTACCACTGAGGCGAATGCTTTTCATTCTGCTCGGCGACGTCGCGTCCGATTTCGCGCGGCTGTCGTGGCACCGTCGAGAAACACGGCGTTAAAGAGCTCGTTGGCTGCGGGAAGATTACGGGAATGCTCCCCTCCCCCTCCCCCTCCCTCCCCCGCGAGTTTTACCTCGGCGATATTAATGGCAAACTCGTTACCGCGAAATACGCAAATCTATATGCGGATGTTCCTAAGACGGTGATAAGCCGTGTGCAAGTTTGCCAGGGTTGTCTCACGAAGCTTAACGGTACAACATGCGCGCACGATATCGGACTCTCGAGTCGACTCAATAACGATTCAACGGTCATCAGGGATTTCGCCAAAGTTGCTCGGTTCATGCTTAAGTTCATCGACTCAAGAGATCGGTCATTTTGACGTTGAATCGAACAGTTGTCTCAAGGACATCTTAATTGAGTATGGCATGTGCTGTTCCGTTGCAGTTAGTGGTAGAAATTTGGCTGAAAATTTGACAAAGTTTTACGAGCCTCTTACCATATATGATGACAATAATAATAATGATAATAACTTACAATAATATTCACACGGGGAGAGCTCTTTAGTGCAAATATATAAGAGGAAAAATCATTACGCGAGTGAGGCAGATATCAAGATAAAAAATATCGTAACGAATAATAAATAAAAAATAATGATATACACTGTAAAAAATGATGTGTTAAATTTAACATATTTCATGTGTCTCAAATCGTCCGCTTTCATTTATGTATTAATTTAACATACAACAAATATGTTAAAAAATGACACACATAATATGTAAAAAATTAACACAAAAATGTAATATTTGTGAATACCGTCAAGAATCACAGTTTGTGTTAAATTGACACACCATGAATGTTACTTCAACATTTGGAAAAATTATTAATCTATGATTTAATGAAATGAAAATGTTAGATTGACATAATCTATGTGTTAAAAATCCAATCTTCACTCATACTAGTTAACATTATACATTTAACCCAAGATAACTGTTATAACGAGGAAAGTAACACATTTTCGGTGTTGACTTCAACGTATAAAATATGTCATAACAAGAATTCATACATTTGCATATAAATTGTGTTATCTTAATACTTGGAAATGTCGTTTTAACACTTGAAAATAGATAATCTTAATTTAACAACAAGAAAGTCTAGGTAACACAACAACGATATGTTAAATTAACACACGACTGTGTAAAAAATTTAACACAAAACTTTCTACACACAAATAATTTTCACGAAAGTACGAAATGTTTTTAACTGTGTAGAAAGGAGAAGTTGAATTACAGATTTAAGTGCAGAATGGAGTGTTTGAAATCAGACATTGCAAAAATAAATCTAAGTGATCGGCGTATTTGTTCGCCGCAATGCTCAGTCGAAAAAGTTCAGCATGTTGCACACAAAATGCTGTATGAAGTGCTCAGTATGAAAAACAGAATCTATCTAAATTTCTCACAGGAATATTACAATGTGAGCTTAGGTAAGTCACGGAATTGAAAAGTCGAGTGACACGAAATCAAACTGATCGAGAAGTTTTCACGTCGCGCCATTTGTTCCCTCTCGTTCTCAAATTTCGTATATCAATACAATATCGCGCTCGTATCGAAACACAATGGTATTATCGAAAGGTCGCTGCGCAAAAGCGAAAGCATTTCGTCGCGTTCGTGCGAACTGATTGAATCGCGGCGCAATAAATTTAACTACGCGGGGGAACACAGAAAATGGATGAAAGGATCCCGACGTCGCTTCTTAATGGCGAAAGCTCTCGTCGAAGTCGATGTCGTCGAGTCGTGCTCGGCCTGTCGATATTGTTTTGCATCGTTTGGCAGATCGCTCCTTCCGCTCGTTCCGCGAGTCACGTCACGCGCTATTTCGAGACCAGAATGTCTATCGCATCTGCGACCCCAGTGAGAAGTATCGAATGCACGACACCATGACGATCGGTACGCGGGAGTGTATGACCGGATAACCAATTTCCGCCACTTGAGTTATATTATCCGTATCTATCGCGTGTTTGATGCCTCAAGCGGGAGAAACGAACGAAATAACTTAATCGGCGTCTCCGGAGACCTGACGTCAAGTTGTACGGTAATGAGCGTCAAATTGCCATTACCTGCTCCCGCAGGAAGAGATACACGTTATCTGGAAGTTAATCTCCAACCAGCCCCAGTGGGAACGATAATGAACAGTCACGTAGAGTTTTGTTAACGAACCCATACTGCTCCGAACGAACCCCCCGTGCCAAATCTTTAATGTTTGCGGAATAAAAGATTAAAAAAAATGTTGGGAAAGCGCGCAGGATAACGGGAGGCGAAAGCCCACGAAGAAACACGCGTTTCTATTTCCATTTTGTAGATAAATTTAGTTTCTTTCGCGAATAATTTCCGCGACGAATATATCGCGCGAATTTTGCATGAATAACAACTATCTTATAAAGCGCGCGTAATAGCTGACAGGTATTAACATAAAGATTATTTAAATTTTATCAGAATATTATTAACGTTTTGGTTTTAGCGTGAAAAATCGGGCCGAATTTTCCTTTTTTATCCGATAGCTTCAGTTTAGTTATTTCACGGGCGGAGGAAAACAAAGGTATCGATTACCTTTAACGTTACCGACGTCGAATGTGCTATATGTAATAAGTTATATCGGTTTCCCGTGCAAATTTTTCATTCTTGTCACCTTACGGATTTCCAGCGAGGTTTAACGCGGCAGTCGCGATAGTGATTTCTGAAAATAGACGGCACATCGGCCGGACAATCATTCAATTCCCCTATGTATGATTGACGTGTGCAACATGTAGGCGTATTATTGGCGCAATTTGACCGCATTTGCGGTAGACACAAACGTTTCGTCTGCACATCTCGTTACGTTTCACCGCGACGCTGTAATATCGCGAACGAGTTACATCTAGGCTTTAGTGCTCAGGTACAGAGCACTGCGGTCTCGATACGCTCGAGTACGCGACCACGTTTTCGCGGTCATTTCCGTACTAAAGTTACGCGACATTGGAGACAAGTCCCGGACAATCTAATCCCGTGACTCAATATCGTTACTTGTTTCACCGTGGAAGAGACTAACCAACTCGAAGCTCGTCATTACTCGGCGACTGTTTCCGTAGCCAAAAGTTCGCAGTAACTACACTAGGAAAAGAAATTTAGTATCTCTAACAAAACTGTTTAATCGAGGGATTTTTTAATAGCAACCAAATATCTTGTTTTATATAACAAAATATTTAGTTGTCTCAACTGAATATATTTTTCTGCTTTGTTCTCTGGACCAAATGATTTTGTTCTTAGACTTCGTATATAAAGATTAAGCATTTTAGTTATTTTATCCATAAAAATTACATAATAACGAAATATTATTTTACATAAACTAAAATAATGCCCAGTGGATACTATTTTGTCTTTCTGTGCACTAAAATTTAGATTTTATACATTAAGAAAAAAATTATAGTATTTTTAACAAAATTCGTACAGTTAAAGCTTTTTGCTTGCTATAACAAGCAAGTATTACGTTTTACGAACAAACCGTAATCAAACAAGATATTTGTTTGCACAGGAACTAAACAGTTTTGTTGGGTATATTTTAACCAAATTTTTTTGTTGTTGCAACAAAATTTTGGTTCACGCAACAATACATTTTTTCTCGCAGCCCGAGTGTAGCGCTGTACGTCAAAATAAAAAAAAAATACAAATCTGATATTTTACAAATACGTCAAAACGTGAAGATAATATATCGAGTTGTGTAAAATGAGTAATTTTCTCGGATTTCTTTCTCGGCAAGATGAAACGAGTTTTATCGTCGTTATAATTTTGCGTTATCGTCTTCGCGCATACATTACTCGACAAAATTCAAACGACACGAAAGTTGGTCCCGACCGAAGGAACGAAGGAACGAAGGAACATTAAACCGATCTGACGTGAGGAAAGATTCGCAGTCGTCTCACCCTGATCCGCGGAAGCTCTTCTAGGATTCAAGCTCCTCGGCATCCTTCGGTCCTGCATGCCTCCGAGACTACCCCTGGGACTCCTATCTACCCCATCCGGCCCGATGCTCCCTCTAGGACTTCTGCTTTCATCATCGTTGACAGCTCCGAGGGAGCCTCGCGAGTGCCGGTCGACGTCGTTCATGCCTAAGCTACCGCGCGGCGATCGATTGATCTGCTCGTGCGGCACGATCGAACCCCGCGGACTCCTGTTGCCCTCCGGACATATCGAGCCGCGGGGGGAGCGATTGGAATCCGGCACTATCGAGCCCCTGGGCGATCGGTTGGGATCGGGCGCGATCGAGCCGCGGGGACTCTGGTTCAGGCACTCGGAGGCTATCGAACCGCGTGGACTCCTGTCTATGACCTCCATGGGCGTGATGCTACCTCTGGGTGTTCTGTGCACTTCCGGGCAGATCGAGCCGCGCGGGCTTCGGTCGAAGTCCAAGTTCGCCATGCTGCCACGCGGGCTCCTCGTCGAGTCCGGCACCAGCGAGTGCCTCGGGCTGCGAGTGGCGCCGAGGCTCGTGTTGCCGTTCTCCGGCATGAGGGATATCCTGGAGGCGGCCATGCTGTTGCGCGGGCTCCGGTTGTAGGCCACGTCGGGCACCAGGGAATTCCTCGGGCTGAGCACCGAGTCGGGTATCAGGGAGTGACGAGGACTCAGCGAGACCTCCGGCGTCAGGCTGCTGCGCGACGTCCTCGCCACGTCCGGTACCAGACTGTTGCGCGGACTCCTGCTGGGATCCGGCACCAGCGAGCCCCGCGGGCTCCTGCAGTAGTCGTCCGGTATCAGCGAGTTTCGCGGGCTGCGACTCGCCTCGGGCGCGAGACAACTGCGGCCGACGAGATACTGCTCGGGATCCGGTAGAATCCTGCGACATATTCCCTGCAACGGAACGTGGACCTTAGGAATACTCCGCAGTGTTCGCTCTTCGAAGTTGAGAATTTCGTGAGGTACCTCGAGCGATGACGCGATGAATTATAGATATTTGATCGATCACGCTCGGGAGGCGCGCGAGACTCGGCGAGACATTTTCCCTGTGGGAATCTCATCGGGGCGGACATTGACATTCCGACGCGACACCGGGCGTGACGAATGATTATGCGTTTGAAATTTCCCGCCAAAGAAATGGCGCGGCTTCCCTCTCCGCGCGGGGTGCCTCCCTGAGGTGGCCGAGAGATGGATGATTTCGTTGTTATCGCCCCGTTATCAGATCATTCGTCGTAACCGTCCGCGTGTAAACACAAAATTACGAGTGTGGCCGCGCGCGAGACACGTCAGAGACGCCGGATCGAAGTAAATGGATTTTAATCATTTCAGCGCGGACACCGCGCCCGCCAACTGATAACTTTCGCAATGCCTGGTCCCCGCCCGACGGTCGCGTCGATCGTCCGCTGATGAATAACATGCGACAGCGATCTGCAAATGCGCCATGCAAATTTCACGACCTCCCGATCTCGCGGATAAACCGCGAATATGCAAAAGGCATGACAAAAAGTTCATATTTGGTTTCATCGGACGGACCTACGCAGTGCTCACATCGAACGATGCGTACGACATCGAACACTCATACGCCCCCGAATATCCCTCGAGTAATCGAATATTCCACGCAGCATTGCCACGTAGCCCGAAGTGTGCGAAAAGGGAAGGAAACAAAATCCGCTCATATTCCAGCCTGAATCCGCTTGACTCTCCAGTCTCTCGCGGACTGATTGGAATAATTTCCCGCGCTTTGCGCGCGTTAGTCGCTCGTGGAAAAAAAATATTACGCGTGTCGAGCTGTTGTCGGGTCGTTTCATTACAGATAGATTTCAAACTAGCAGTCCAGGCAAAAGCCCCGGCGCATTTTCCACATGAAAAAAACGATACTCTCGACTGGCATAGCTCCGTGGCTGCCTCCAGGCATGTACATATCGGGCCGAATTTCCAATCGACTTTCCGCGTATATTAAAAACGACAACATCTCGAACATACGTATAGCTGCTCGCGAATCTGCACTTGTCAAGAGAGAGGGAGAGAGAGAGAGACAGAGAGAGAGAGATCCTTTCCTCCCTCCTTCTCTCTCGGTCCCTGTGAATACCAAAACTGTAGGAAATGCCCGTAAATCTTCCGTAGGACCGCAAGTCCCTCAGACGAGCCCTGCATAAAGTAATTATACGAGGATCTCCGGTAACGGAGAGTACGAACCTCATCGGGCGAGTCGCCCTCGGTATCGAGAGCGATATCCGGCACCATGCTACCCCTCGGCGACCGTTGCCTCTCCATCGTTTCACCGGGGCTGCTTGGCGGCAGGACGAGAGGCTTCTCGGTGGCGACACTCGCTCGTCTACCTCTTATCACCGATGACGCTCCTGCCGGCTGATTCAAATTCGCCACGCTTGGCGACGCTCGCCGGCGTCGCGACGAGGCGCTTCGGTGTAACATCACGGTAGCATGTCCTCATCCCTGCGACACACCACATTCCCCGACCGATTATTCCCTCGAGTATTAATTCCTGGTGAATCCTGGTGAAGCTTCGGAAGAGTCATTGGCGTTAGCGCCGCGAGTAATTAATAATTAATCGCGGACCGAGGACTAATGTCGATGTCGAGCAGGTCGCGGTCGGCGACCTGTAAGAAAATTGTGCGAGAGATCGCGGAGGCTGTCGTGGCTGTGAGGAGGATTTAGCGGGAGAGAGAGAGAGAGCTTCGTTGGGCTTTGGGATTCGCCAAAGCGGCCGATTGTGCGAGTTAATCGAAGAACAGAGTGGTGTTCGCTTTCAGGCAACTTGTTCGTTCTCGATGCAAGTTGCGACTGGGAGAGAGTCGGTATTCTTATAAAAGTTAAAAAAGTGCGCCTTTTGCGAGCCGGGCAGAGACGTCCCGCTTGAAAAAGCGGGAATTCACGTCATTAGCGTGGCGCGTACAATCGTGGAAACGCCTGTCCCCGTTCTCGGCAGACTAACAGTGTCCATTAGAAGTTTAAAGAAGCGCGCTTCACGTTAAGTTTCCCCGGGGTTTCTCGCGTGGCGACGTTAAAAAGACAAGCGAGCTACGGAGGACTACGAACTTAATCGTTCGGAACTTGGTTCCCCCGCGTGCATACAATCCTCCCGAGGATACGGGAAATGTCGTGGCCGTCGCGCGACCCGCGCCGACCGTTCCCTCATAGCGCGGTGCCGAGGATACACGAGTGCTCGGCGAGCCTCGCGAGATCTCGCTACATGAATGCAATGACGACAACATCGTACGATGAGCGATCGTGCACAAAATTATGTGGTTACGCAAAGAACACATCCGGCGGTGATAATTGGGAGTAAAAAGTCACGATCGAGGATTCAGTCGGTACCTCTCTTCTCGTCTCGTATCGTTACGAGACGCTTGTGAAACTTGACTGTGACTTGACTTGCAGCGAGCGCTGACGCGCGAGAGAGGGACGCAGACAGTGGTAGAATTTCGTTTTCTTTTCTTTCTTTTTTTTGCTTTTTTTAACGCGTGTGTATGGATACGTGGATTCTGTCTGCCGTAAGACACGCAGCTTGAAATATTCTCATGGCCGCGTGGGCCCACGCATTTCTCCGTGCATGAGGCACAAGTACTCCCTTAAATATTCACTCGAGTCCCCCTGAGGACGGATTCCCAGAAACATTCACTGTGCATCTGCGTGGGCGGGGTGGATTCGTAGCAGGAAGATGACCCAGATAAGTGCATGGTTCGCTCCAGTACATTACTATATATCAGCCCCTCTAATTCCCTCGGCCTAGGCTGCGACATGCATTTTGACGTGCCGATAAGAGCGTGTCTCTCATCGCACGTAACTCCTCTTCCACATAGATCGTGCGTTGAATATATTATCGAATCGTGTACGCTTAAAACCATTTCGTCCCGCTGAAAGGGAATTTACAGCTAAATATCGCGTGTCGCCGACGGAAATGAAGCCTTGCGGAAATATCTGTTGTGCCAGTTGCAAACGTACAAAAATGTTGCACGATTCGTCCCTAGTTAAAAGAAAGGGAGCGAGAGAGAGAGAGAGAGAGAGAGATCCGGTGCGAGAATGGAAATTGATATTACGTGTCGATTGAAATATGTGTGTGTGTGTGTGTGTGTGTGTGTGTGTGCGTGATACCAGCTTATACGATTATTTACCGGAAGGCACGCAGAGCGCAGCGTAATAACTAGGAAATTCGATGTCGATCTGTGCCTTTCATGTAGTGTAATTAAATACGAGATATGAAGGCGCGAGTACGTACGGGACGTAGCATGCGCTGGAAATGCTATAGTCGTCGACAACGCGGACGAATTATCGCGATATTGTTTTGTCGAACATTTACGCGCGATCGACGATCGACTGATAAAAATAAAAGTCGTTTACACTTTATGCAACGTCCGCTGAATGCTCATGCCAACGAGATCGGTCTAGGTGTGGCGATTATTGCAGCAGTTTTATTGACAGCGGATAATCTCCCTTGTTTATGCCATATGTATCTCCGATAAACGGGACGGAGAGTGCTTTTGCCGAAATCGAAAAACGACACGCCGCTCGCGCAGAACACTCGTGAAATAACACCTAATGCGAAACGCTGGTTTCTTTTTCTTTCAGAATGATTGCTCCAGCCGTTGCAATAGAATTTCACCCACGTACGTGCGTAGAAAATAGACGAAGAGGGATCTAGGAGGATAAAGGATTATCTCCTTTGTTTTCCTTCCTTGCCGCGCGCCGATTTCTCCCTTTCCCTGCGTTACCTCCGCGCGCAAATAAATCCCTTCGGAACTGCCTCGCTGCGTTAATGCAATTTACAGCGTTATATATTTCCGAAGTGAACTCTCCGCCGCGTAAATTATTGAGCATTATTAGCGCAGCCACGGGTATTATTACGCGTACGGGCTGGCTCGGTGGAGCCAGCAGAGAGAAATCGGCAAATAAGCGGCGTTGCGAGGAATGCAACCTCCGCGGTAGCCCTCCGCGCCGTGCGGGCGATCAACTTTTTTCAACGACTTACGCGAAACCCGCCGAGACGAGCCGAGCCGAGCGTGAAATTCAGCGAAGAGCGCCGTGCGGATTCGCGGCTTCTTAATTAGACCGACGAGTGGCGCGGAATATGGTCGTTAAGAAAAACTTGCCACAAGAACATAGATGCAAAATTACATTAATTCCGCCAGCACTTCGTCTTAAGACTCTCTCTCTCTCTCTCTCTCTCTCTCTCTCTCCTCTCTCCTCTCTCCAGGTCTCGCGACTTGAGCGAAAGTTTGACGGAAATTGCGCGCTGAAATGCCGTGCGAAAACTACGGGGCGCCGTTAGACGGCGCGCTTACGATATCACGTCTGACTACACGCTCTCCTCATTGAGCGCGCAAGCAAATTAAGATCGCGCGTGCACAGCTTCTCAAGAAACGCTCGCCATACGGCGGGCGTTGTCGTGCATGTGTGTGGATGTGTGTCCCAGACGCGACGCGGCATTTACCGACACGGGTACACCGCGCCGCGCAGCCGTCTGATCTACTGCTAATGCGAATTTTCGCCGGTCGCATTAGATGAAGAGAGCCGAGCTCTCGCGACAAAGAACAGCCTCGTAGCGTGTAATCTCCTCCCCTAATTCAAATCCGCCGCGAAGATAATCATAAGGTACACGCGGCGCACAATGGGATCTCAAAGTGAAGCGTATGCATAATCCAGCCCGACCCCGCCGGTGAGCAAACTCACCGGCGACGCCGTTACGATCGTGCGCGAAGCGCGCATTCCGCGGAAACATATCTCGTTGGCATTTAACAATCTCGCGCGTCGCGCACTTGTTACTTCACCGCCCACGCGAGGCTCCCTCGAGCCGCGGGTCCCGACTATCCGCGTCGGGGCGGCGTCGCCCTTAGGGACTGTCTCAACGGTGAAGTCGCGCGCGAGTTTTCAGGGCTAATTAACGCGTCGTCAACGCGCGCTATTGATAGCAGTTACGCGGGTGATAATTAATAATATCCGCCGCAGCCGCGCATTAGGCCGGTACAAGCGCGCCGATCACGCGTGTTACGGCCGAATTAATTACAGGCTTGAGTGCACGGTATTGCCTTTAATGAATTGTGTGGAATGAACAAGAGAATTAATGCCGGGCATGTACGGTATCGGTATTACGAGCTTAGCCATTCTTGCCGCACAATGGAAAGTGATGTACGATGGCGCGTTCGACTTAACGAGCCAACGTGGCGCTGGCCGGTCGAAGCTTCGTGAGAATTTACTGAAGGAAAGCCGAGTGTCGTTTTGTTTGACGAACGAGACGCTCGGTCGAATAAATATCCCGCTGAAAGCCGAGGGTTATGTATTTAGATGTGAGTGGCGGCCGCGAAACGGCAGCTAGCTCGTCATATTTTGCATGATAGTGCGCTCTGCGGGCACATTTGTAATGTAACTTTACATAACAGTGCTCGCGGTGATTAACGATTTAAACGCGGTAATGCTTTAACGGGTCATAAAACAAAGCGGCAAAACGGTGCCGGTAAATATTACCGTTCGGCGCACGCATTAATCGAACCGCGTGTGAAATGCATTGCGCGATGCTGTGTGTGGAGTGCTGGCTTTTGTTCCGCCGCGGGCGAAAGAGCCGTCAGGGTGCCGAAAGTTACACTGTAAAAATGCAGAATTTTTGTTTTGAACTTTTAGAGATGGAGCGATCAGTATTCACACAAATACGAAAAAAGTTTCGCAATGGAGTTCCTCATCGAGAGAGAATCTTCGCGTACGCCTCGGCACCGAGTGCGCAGTGAGTGCTCGCAGGTGGAAATTTCGAGGGCGGCGAATCTCGAAAAACATTTATCGATCGCTCGGAGAATTATTCACCGAGCGATCCGACGTAGCGACGGAGTAGCGAATATTAATCAGCGCGTGCGGAGCGCGGTCAGTTGTTGTTCGCGTTGCGTCGCTTCGACGCGAATCGACTCTCCGTTATAGCGCCGTACGTCATTCCTCCGACAAGTCGGTTATGGCCATCCAGCACGAGCCATCCGACATGCTGGCGAACGACAACGGGCCGCGCAGCCTGTGCCGCGTGTCTGAATTTAGTCGGTGAAGATTAATTTTGCGTCGCTCGCGAATAGCAACGTGGCGGCGATTGACCGACTGCGCGTCCATTAGGGGTTAATCTCTCAGAACGTAATTACCACGTCGTACCACCGTGTCTGAAGAGAGACGTATGAATTATTGGGAGAACAAGAAGCGGCATTAACGAAGATGGAAGGCGACGCGAGTAACTTGTAATAGCGAGTATTCTCCGGTTCCCCCCTCTATCTCCCCCATCGCTCGCTCTCTCTCTCTCTCTCTCTCTCTCTCTCTCTCTCTCTCTCGCGCTCTCTCTCTCTCTCTCTCTCTCTCTCTCTCTCTCTCTCTCTCTCTCTCTCTCTCTCTCTCTCTCTCTCTCTCTCTCTCTCTCTCTCTCTCTCTCTCTCTCTCTCTCTCTCTCTCTCTCTCTCTCGCTCCATCTCGCG